AAAGGTGGATAAAATTACTTAAATTAAACTTTAGCTTATATTTTTAAAGTTTACAGTAGGTTCTTCTTTATTTTTATTTGCATGGACGTTACATGTTCGATATTACGCGTGTCTTGACTAAGTGACATAAAATAGGTCCTGCGAAGTAAGGAATTCCGTCAGCGATTGTATAGCTCAAGCCAAATTCGTACGTAGACAAATATTTCTGTAGTAAACCGAACCAACAATGGTCTATGTTCAAACATCATAAAGTCCACTGAGTAAGTAAATGTTCATTACAATAATAGAATCCCTACAGATCCGCGTAGCTACAGAATGTGTGAAAAACCTACAAGAAAATTTCAATTTGTTAACAAGTAGGCAAAAACGTTTTTTTACTTAAAATTTTTTACAAGCCTATGTTATGGTTTACAGAAGCTTTTTTTAGGTGAGAAATACGTCATTTGACTTCAACGCTCTCGGTGAGGCGAGAAGGAGTGTCTGACTCTTACTGACTAAGAACCACACCCTTCTTTCTTCTTCTCAGAGCCTGCTGATGTTATAAAGATGCACAAGTATTTTTAAACGTCATGTGTGTCTTTCAATTGATACCATGTTACATATTATTTATTTGCTTTGTGTACTTTGAGTAATGTGTAAACTGTCATGGCGGCCCGGAGGTTAAAACAACCGCTCATATACTTGAAGAAAAATGGTAAGGAAACTGGGGCTTACAATTTTTATATAAGTAACATTTTAATTTGAAGTCGACAATCTGCGTTGAGAAAACGAGGCAATACAGTAGTTTCCAACTAGTCAAATTCAATACTTTTATCCAAATGTCAAAAACGATACCTACTTTTCTATGAAATTTGTATGGAAAACTGAGTTACGACGTCAGTATTTTTTGCGTCAAATAGCTTACTTATTTCATAAAAATTGGCTACCAAATATCTTAAACTTAGTGTATCTATCGATCGATGAATAAAAGTATTAATATTTAATTGTGTGTCAAGTTTACAAGCGAAGTTTGCATGGCGTAAATTATTTTTGAAAACCCCAGCAATTATTTTTACATTATTAGCTGACTCTGAAATCATTTTAGTTTGATTATACGACCATTTTAAATTTTTAAACTCACGTGCAATTTCGCCATGCTACCATTTTTACGTAATAGAAGGCTCAATTTTGTAATTAAGTAACGTTAAGTGTAGTCTTCCTAAAAAAAAACTTTATATAAAATTATTAAACCGACCTACATATTATTGTCGTTAAAATAATACGTCATTCTTATTATTATCTGTTTACAGAAGATGTAGCAATTTATTAATTGGAACTTGCAACTAATACGGTTACAAGAAATAATCGCAATTTATTTTTATCGCAATATTACAATGTCAAAATGTCAATTTTAACTTATGTGTAAAATATTTTTTTAATTGATTTTGGTTGTATTACTCAATAATCTTTTAGCTGACACTGTCAAATTAATGCGGCTTTTAATAATAATTATTATTATTTCAGAAACTAAAGATACGACGTTGCTTAATTACATTCTGTAAATTGCACATTTATGATAGGGCCTAGAAGGGCCAATTTTGATACAATAAGGTACCGCGGCCTCAGCATGGAGCAGGATAAGAACGGGGAGGATTTTTAACAATAAGAGTCTGACACTGGCGAAAGACGTCATTTTGATGATTCACCCTCTTCAAAAAAGGATGACTATGGATTTGTATCTAACACACAATCCTCATTAAAATTGGCGAAGATTTCACGCGATGCATGTGCAATGATCTTAATGACTAACTGTTAGTGTAACTGTAATGTCTAGCACTGGATGAAAACGAAGTAATTAAATATTTTTCTAACAATCCTAAAGAAACCTAGAGGTGTTCTCTTGCCAATATTCAACATTATCAGAGCAGTAATAGATTATAAAACAAAAAAAAGTATTCTGTATTCTAACTTTAATATTTATTTTAAAAACGATTTCTTCATAGTATTTGCGTCTCAAAATTCTCAACTTTGACCTCATTATATATTAATAATATTTATAAAATGCAATTAATTCATTCATAACGTAACGTCACTACGCTACGCATTTAAGATGATTTATATGTATATGTTTTAAATATGAATACCTACATATCATAAATAATATTTTGTGACCTTAACCCAAAAACCTTGAAGATTAAGCCTACTACGGAATTTTTATGATCCTCATAAATTAATTTAGAAATGTTGAACGAATAAATAATATTTAGTAAATATTATTTATAATACGAATGATATAAATGGACTGTTCTTGTTATATAACCATGCAGATATGATATATACCTATATTATACACAAATTATCATACCTATTAAAATATTTACCACAAAAAAAAAACTTTAAAATAAATAAATAAAAAAGTTGATCTACATGGGGGGACAAATTACACCCTTTATAGATCATGTAAACATTAAACATCCTCAATTTTTCTGCGTATCTACCTAATAATAAAATGTTAGCGCCGATTTAAACCACGTCAAGTTACTCCCAATAATTTTATGAAAGTCTTTAAAGGGTGAAAAAACCTATTTACTTGAAATATCACAACTAGAGTACCTACAATTAGTGATATACAGGGTGTAAGGGACAGCCCTCCACAAATTAACAGGGTGCATTCAGCTCCTTATTCTGAATCATATTCCAGTGAAAATTCTTTCAGGAAAATTTTCAATTTTTTTTTCGTTTTTTCAGTTCCTACACATCTATTTCAATGTATAATTACATTCTATGTATGAAGAATAACATTAATTTAAATAACACAGCTAAAACAAAAAAATACGCAATGGTTGTGTGAATTCTCTAAAGAACTACGCATGAAATCAGCTGTTCAATTTCTACCTAGCGCGAGTCGTTTGAACTCACCGCACCGCGGTCACGGCGCAGCGGCTCGGCGCCCCACCGCGCCGATCGCCGCGCCGCGCGCCGTAGGTATAATACCTACGATCCCGTCCAACGTACAGAATAGCTGCGTCCCTTTCTATCGCCCCGCCTCCGCGTCTCCCCGTCTCCCCGATTCTTTGCACAATGTTTGCCCGATTGAACCAGTGTTGCCAATTTTTAACTTTTGTTACCTCAGGTAGTAAACGAAAATGTTAGAACTAGCGAAATTTATCTAAAACTTGAGAACTCCTTTGCATTCCTAATTACGTTGATGAGATTTTCATTAATCAATTAATGAAAATCTTGTCGCGCACATAAATTGAATAAGAAATAAATAAAGATTAGTCTAGTTTTAATTTTAAAGCATTTACAAATACTACCTAATTTATTAATTGATTGTTCTTTTTAAGCGATTACTGGCTAGTTTTTAAACTACTTACAGATTTTTACATGGCTTCACAATAGCCATGAATTGATAGTCGAGCCAGAAATTAAACACAATCTCCCTGGAATGGAAGCACAGCTTTCTATCACACTGCACTTTTATTATTCTAAATTAACTAAACAATGAAATTAGAATTAAATTGATTTAATCAATTCATTTCTCTACAAAAAATAACAGAATGATAAATTACGACCATGCATAATTTTTTATTTTTTACCCCCAAATTTTGTAATTTTCGTGTAATTGGCAACAACAGATTTATGTTTGTGTGTGTCTCATCACATGCAGCCGCCATTGTGCCTTGCTGCGATGTTATTGTTTGTGTACCGCGAGCGTGTGTCGGCACGGATCGCTCGCGCATTCGGCTTAAAAGTTTTGTTATAAGTAGTGTTGTTAAGTTTTATTAGTTATGTAGTGTGTAAAGTGTAGTGAAGTTTTGTTGTAGAAATTGTGCGAAATTACTACCTAGGTACGTTTAGCGCGCGTGATTATGGGGAGATGATAATGTGTTGTAGTAGTGTAGGTATCCTGACCGTCGCCATCCATCAGACTCCAGGATAATTACTGGTGACTATCAACGCTTGCTAGAAAACCAGCCCATTGTTCCCAGACAAAAAGGCGCCGGAAGACCAATACCTACGTGGATTTTGGAATTGGTTCGCTAACGTAACGAGACGCTACCACTTACCAGTGGTTTCCTATTTAAACGTAGTTTAGGTAGGTTTGGACCGCAACCGTGGCCAGCACGATCCCCAGACCTAACCCATTTGGACCCCTTTTTGTGGGGTTACGTAAAAGAAAAAGTGTTTGTGAGTGCGTGTGCAAGTGAGTACGAATTGCGAGACCGCATCACAAATGCTTTCCAGAGCCGGAAACCGGAGCGATTCTAAGGTACCTACGCATTTTTCTTTTTTTATCATTTATCAGTTACCATGTTATGATTGTTAGATTTTTTTTTTGTAAGTAATGCAGCTATCTTTTAAATAATAATTTATTGTTATTAAAACGTGGCGCGAGCGCGATTTTTACATTGTCTTTTGTAAGTAATGCGACTATCTTTTAAATAATAATTTATTGTTATTAAAACGTGGCGCGAGCGCGACCGTTTGTCTGAACGTAAGGTCGCGGCGCTGCCCATAGTGTAAAGTAATAATACTAAAAGCGCTGCCGTTCGCTGCGTTCGTTTGCGGTGGTAGCGATACATTGCGCGTAAGGTAATGAAACAAATCGGTTTAATTGGATTCCCATAACGTTCCTGAAATAATTTCATGTACCGGTCAACTTAAGACGATATACTGAATCCACCCTATCAGTTTGCGGAAGGCTGTCCCTTACACCCTGTATAAATACAAAATCAAATGTGTCTCACAAGAGTGTTTTAATTTCTCAGAAAATCTTATCAGAAAACCTTTAAAAAGAAGCGTATTTTCCTAAGTGTCATTTTTTATAATCTATAAGTATATATAAAAATTAATGCCACTTTTTATTGTAATGTTATAACTTAACAATGCCTGTCCTTCCTAAAAAAAAGATAATCCTTTTCTGGAATTTATATTGAGAAAAAAAAACATAATAAAGGGTAATATCGACATTCATGCTGGCGGAGTCGCGGGTGACTGAGATAATTAAAAGTACTTACCGCTATTGCGTTCCATAAATTTTCTGTAGGAGTCCACGAACGACATGCTTGTGTTTGGACCTGTAGAAAAAAATATTTGATATTAGAACTTAGTTGTCAGCGAAGTATAGAGTCTGTAAAATTGTCACACACTATATAACGTGGGAGTTCATTAAGTAAATTAATTCCCGCTGTCTATCCCTATGTACATTTAGATCTTTACAACTACGCGACAGATTTTGATGAGGTTTTTTTACATAATAGAACAAATCAAGGGGAAGATTTAAGTATACATCGGTTAGGTGTAACCAAAGTTTTCTATCGAATTTGCGAGTAGCATGCTAGTAATAATATATGGAAATTGGGCGTTTTTTAAATTTAATTCTACGTTTAATTTCCACAATCGAAGCTTAAAGCAAAAACAGATAAAGCGGAACTTAAATTCAATAATTTTAAATATATATAAAAAAAAAAACAAAAAAAATGTTTTCACGCTTTGGCATTGTTAATTTCTAAGCCAAAAATAATTTAAAAACATATTCATCTCGTTAACATAAATCACAAAGCACAACGCACCTTCAGAAATATTAATTAAAACTAAAATAAAAAACACAACACTCAATCTTAAACAATGTTTAACCTAAAAAAAACTTCAAAAAACCGCGTGACAAACGCACTTCTTAGTCAGAGAGTGATCGGAAACTGACATACGTACGAAAATTTCGCATAAAAGTAAATAAGACGGTTGCGTAAATATATATCAATTAATCCTTGAGATGATTCTGGCACAGTTGTTCTACGACTTAAGATCATTGATAATTTAACTAGCATAATATAAATAAATAGTGCGTTTGTTTACATGTCTTTACCATTTATTAATAATTAAATAACGAAAACAAAAATAATTTCTAGATCAGGGACGGGTTAATTTTAAAATTATAATATATTTTTTTATTATGACAAGACTAGTTATTTTTTCAAAATTGATATTAAATAGTTTCTACTATTTACACATTTAATATAATAATATTATTATGAAAATAACTAGACCGTGATTCTTATTTGGCTAAAAAAAACAAAAAAAATATCGTAAAAATCATAGAAAAAACTCTGTCGTTTTTGTAATTCGAAAAAAGGTATTGAATTAATGTAATTGGCAAATATGTTTTTGTACTGATAAACGTTTTACTAGGTACCTACTCGTATCATAATTTCCGAAGTGCATGTTCCAATTTGTTTGAAACAAAAAGTTCCATATTTTGATTTGTCAATTAAAAAGATGGTTCTTGCTTTCGATTCCCACATGGAATAATTCTTTGTGTGATCCACAAGTTATTCCGAGTCTTAGTGTGATGTGTGAAATTGTATGTTTGTAAGCGCATCCACTACACAGGAGAAAAACATAGTGTAGGATAACATACTTATTTAAAATGAAAAAATTGCACTTATGCATGACTACGGTCAGCAATAGGTTCAATGAATCTTTTTGTTGAGTCAGAAGTCAGAAAAGGGAATGATTGGGATGAACCTCACAGACAATGAGAAAACAATTGCTAAATGTGATTCTACTGTGAGACCGCGAATCACTCTTAAATTAAGAATAAAATAAGGAAATATCACGTTGTTTACTATGACATAATAGGAAGAATTTCCAGAACATAGTCTAGTATGTAAATTGCTATTTTTGGTAACAGATATTTTTAGACAGCCCATTTAAAATTCTATAACAACACACTTGATTTTTGTATTTTTTTTTTGTGATATGTATATTAAAAAATAACCTTCAAAAATTTTCCAGTTTACGATTTTGGCCGTACATTTTAATTTGGTCCGGTGGGATCTAGCAATAACTGGTAGTAAAATAGAAACGGTTAACGAACTCTGATTCCGAAAAGTTTCGAGAAAAATGCTAATCAGAAATTATATTTTTGGCCCAACAAAAACAAGGATGTAGGCCTGTTTTTAGTGCTAGATACATTCTTTATTTTATTTTTAACCGGTTTATTGATAAACCAAGTAGTAGGTTTTTTAACTGATGCTATTTTTAAATAAAAAAAATCAGCAACTTTTTGTGAATCAAAATTTAATTTATGAAAATCCATAAAAAGTAATGTTAGGCAGTCTACTGCACGTCGATTCTATAAAATTCTAACACGAACTCGCATGTCAAGTCGATATTCTCTCTCACTTCGCATAAGGTTCAAAATGGCGTTGATTTTGCATTCTGTAAGCATCACCTAGGCACTTGCGAAGTGAAGTGAAGAGAACTGGTACTAGTGTGGTACCATACTCCACATAATGTAAGTCGAGATTTATCGGTTTTTATTTTAACAAGTATTTGACACAGAATTTTAGATATTATGACGTATAAATTGAAATTTCTTATTTTAAGGAAATTAAGGCAGCTAATTATTACAAAATAAACAGAAAACTGTAAATTCAGGCGATGAATATAATCTGTGCTACGTTTACCAAAAAGAAACTGACAGATAATGTCTTCATTCATTGTTGACAAACTCTTTGTCATTTGCTTTGTATTATTTTGTCCACGTTTGGTTTATTCGTATATTTTTTCGTTTCGTGCTTGCCGATAAAAAGAGACATCATAATAATCATGAAGTAAGTTTTATTACTGGTTGTAAAGTTCAAAAATAATATTTATTAAAGAGTGTTTATTTTGTTTTCTAATCAAACAATAATGTTTCAGTCCAAATGAGATACGTTCCTCACACCCGTCGTCATCTCAGGTTGTAACCTGGCTGGCGAAGGGTTTCTTGAGAACTCAAGGTGCCAGAGAGCGAAAGCGACGCTAGTGGAAGGAACTAGCCGTGTGCCTGAATAGTATAGGTGGCACTTTCAAAACTTATAAACAGAGGACCAAGGTGAAGTAAGTAGTGCTTACTTTGGCATGTTAAAACCATTTAATATTCCTTAATTATATAACTTATCTTATTTTAATTTTACATTGACTATTAATAATAATAAAAAGTAAGGCTTTTTTTAATAACTTCTTTATTAATATAAATGTCTGCTTGTAGTATTGGTCTGAGAAAACAGCGCCATAAGAAGCTCAGCAGCTAGGCGCAGGACAGGACTGGTGTGGTGGAAGATGAAGTTGAGCTATCAGAGGTTGAAGAAAGAACTTAATTTTTGGAACAAACGACAGCGAAAAGCTGCAATTTGTTAAAGAGATTTTATCAATGCACATAGTAATCGGTGTTCTCTTTTCAGCATCCCGTCACACAACATCACAACGGCGAATAGAATTCTTCAACATCACAGAGGGATTCCTGAGTGTGGAAGAGTAGACGATTTCAAATCAATTGGAAGAATTTACAAAAATCAAATGCACAGATCTTGCAAGCATTTCTGAAGAGAAGTCTAGGGAATGATTAAATTTTAGCTGGATCTGTAGTTTCAATCGGGAATGGATTATGAGCATTGGCAGAGGCCATGGCATCAAGATAGGGTGTAACAACGAAGTAGTGTTGTAGTTTTTAAGAAGGTTTCAACCAACTTTTTTATTATATTTAAATTAAAGAATTTTAACGGGTACTAGCAGTTTTATTAGTTAAAGACCCATTCTCACATATCACTGACTATTTATTTATTTGACTTTAACTCAAATGTACATTCAAACAATTATGGGTTACAATAAATCAACTAGGGCCTAACAATTAGTCTCGTAAGGCTAAATTAAAAGGAAAAATTGTAATAAATGGAAAAAGTAAAATCATACAAAACCCTAATTGACTTAAAATCAAAATAAAATAAAATCATAATCATATTTTTTTGTCAGGGGAAAATCATCATGACTTCTCCTGCTTTAGGCCCGCCCAGGGTAAGGCGAGATAGTGTCAGACTCTTACTGACTAAACCACCGTTCCTTCTCCTGCTTTAGGCCGTGACCGTGGCACTTCATTGCGCTTGCCCCTCCACCGTGGCTGAACATCAGCCCTGTAGGGCTCCGTCTGTGGTAGTCTATTGGCTCTTTGAGGCACTATATTTTGCCTACGTCCTAGATTTAAACCTGTATTAGATGACAAATTCCTAGTTTGCCTCCTTTGAACTTCAGCAATTGTACATAATTTCGTCTCTAATTGTCCTCTCTTCTGAATTGCGAGCAGTAATATGTATGTTATTTTAAAATGCTTCTGGGGAATTGTCTTCAACACCACTAATGGTGTCGTACGTCGAGCAAATCCTGAATCACCTGAAAAAAAATCTAATGACTATCTAGTACTTATACCATTTTAAGTGTGCGAAAGCCATGTTTCGGCACGAATGGCTCGGTCCACTGGAGAGATACCACGGCCTTACAGAAAACTGGCGTGAAACAACGACAGCGTTGTGTTTCACCGTGTGAATGTGTGTCAAAATCTCCAAATCCATAATCCCCAAAAGGTCGGCAACGCACTCGTAACCCCTCTGTTGTTGCGGTTATCCATTGGCGGCGCTGAATCTTTTCCATCAGGTAATCCGTTTGCTTGTTTGCCGACCAATCACATATAAATGAAACCTAGTAATTAGACTTATATATTCTGAAGTAGGGGTATAACATGGTAATATATGTTGTGAACTAAACTATTATATTATTATACAGATATATGTATATATTTGAAAGTTCAAAGCCCTTTGCCTCGCCGTTTTGTGGGTTTTATCAAAGGGAGTAACTCATACTCCAGTTGGTCAATCAGCTCCATTGCAGATACACGCTCACATAGTCGTCATCTCAGGTTAATAAAGACAAACTTCGAATGGTGCTAGATTGTCGACGCATTTCTTGTTTATCTAAAGCATGAGCTTCTTCTAACAAAGATTTTACCAAAATCATTCTTGCCATTGTTATCGTTTTAATAGGTAAGCACTTATTCACTTTGTTACTTTCAAAACTTAATTTGAACACTATCTAACTATTATTTCATCAATTTTCACTCGTAAAATAGATACTTTTAATTTGACATTTTGAATCTTGTTCTAGTTCGAAGTGAGCGTCGAAGTGACAGGTAAATTACATTATAGAATACGATTTTCAACGTTATCTCATACTTTATCTGTCAAAATGTTGCGGTCAATTTAGT